GATCTTTCCATCTTCTGAAATATTCAATATCTTCAATTCTTAAGAGATTAGGGATACAAGAGATATATCCAAACATAATAAAGACAATTATAGCAAACCTATAGCCAGCGTCAAATTAAGTGGAGAGACACTCAAAGCAATTTCACTGGTATCAGGAACAAGACCAGGCTGTCCACTCTTTCCATATTTATTCAATATAGTACTTGAAATTTTAGCTAGAGCAATAAGACAATGGAAGGAGATGAAGGGCTACAAATTGGAAAGGAAGAAGTCAAAGTATCGGTATTTGTAGATGATATGATAATATACATAAATGACCCCAAAAGTCCTATAGGGGAACTCCTGCAGCTGATAAACACCATCACAGAAGTGGCTGGATACGAGATTAACTAAAAGCAAGCAAGCAAGCAAACAAACAAACAAAAAACCCCCAAACCACTACCACCACCACCACCAAAACCAGTAGCTCTTCTTTATCAAATGACAAATGGACTGAGAAAGAAATCAGGGGAACAACATGCTTCACAATATCTTTACGTAATGTAAGTATCTTGGGTGTAACTCTAACGAAACTAAGTGAAAGATTTGTATGATAAAAGCTCCAAATCTGCCTCACTGTTTCATCTGTGTGGTGTGCCCATGGTGTGTTTTCCTTGTGTGTTGGCATATTCTTTTCTTTACTCTTTTCCCTCAATAATACCTGTATGGCATTTGACTTTGATACTTTTTTTGTTGTTTATTTTTTTAGAATAGTTTTTTTTTTCAATTTTAGAAGGGGGCAGGGTTCAGGATAATTTCTGTACCTTATGTTACTTTCTTATAGATATTAAAATAAGGCCACTTATTTCCTGTTATGTAGATGCTTCCTGCTACTGCTTTCTGCTTCTTACACTAGGTATTTTCTTTGTCTCTGTCACCCCTCTGTTGCTGAGGTAATCCCACTCCCGGTATTTTGGTTTCAGTCTGTGGGCTTGTCCAGTAAGGGAGCTGTGATAGATGTTTGTCTCATGTCACCCTTAGCCATTCTCATCTTCTAGATCTTTGCCTAGTTTAGTTTCAGAACCACTTCCTAGTGACCAATGGATGTCCAGAAGTGAAGCGTTATTGCCTCCAGCGTCCCTGGCTTCTTCCCCTCAGATATGGACACAGTCAGGTAGTTAGTATACCAAAAGTTATATTTTATTATGCTGAGGGTCATCACTATAGGTCCACGTCTAAATTCCTAATTCTGGTCCTAAGCCTGTCTTCCTAAGGCTGCTCATCTGTGGGACATATCTTAGCTAAAGGTCGGGTCCAGTGTCTTCACAGAGGTCTATGATTTGAGGGTCAGGATCCTGGGGGAGACTCTCTGGCTGTAGGGCAGATTAAGGTGGCATTTCTCCAGATGTGCAGAGCAGAACATTGCTCTTAATCTCGGCTTATATACTGTATACTGTCCAGTGGACATCATGGGTTCCAGGACTGTGTCTGGTTTATCTTGTGTGAGTGACGTCACTAAGTTCTGATTATCAGGTACAGCCTTGCGTGTAGCAGGGATTGTGACTAAGCTATTTTTACAAGTCTAGATGGTAGGGTTTTTTTTTTTTTATAGCTATTATAGGATTGCTGGTGGTTTGGCCTCACTCTTTCTTTGTAGTTTGTTGATAGTTATCAGTGGGTTTTTGCTTTGCTCTCTATATCCCGATGACAATTTGCTATATCCTGATGACGATTCAGAGGCATTCAAAAGCTATGCTTTTACTGCCACCATTCCTGGGTTCCAAATTGCTGATATATTATAACAAAGTTGGGTCTTTTTCTCTCTTTTTTTCTTTAAAACTGACTTCTGCAGAGAAAAAGGAATTGGCGTATAGAGCATCCTTCGTTTCTAGAAGTGAGGCCACAGCAGTCGAGAAGAGCAAATTTGAAGACAGTGGAAGCATCTGCCTCTCTTTCTAAAGCATGGCTCAAGTGTGGAGAAGGATTTCAGAACACTTCTGAGACCCTGGTAGGAGAGCTATAAAATTGTTTTTCATGATTGCAGAAGAGCCCGGGTATCTAGCTATTATAACTAGTTTCTTTGGAATTCTTTTAGTTTTCAAAGCACTACTTTTCTTTTTCATGCCTTGAGTTCTTTTAATAATTGTGTCAAGTTAGTATTTCTTCCATAGTCTCTGTAGAATCTTTCTCCTTGTTTGAAAATGAAGAGTGCACACTGAGAATGCCGACAGGTATGAAGTTACTGAGCATACTACTGTTTATAAGAATAGTATTTATGGAATGTCAGTTTGATTCCAGTTAATTTTTATATATCTTGTAAATCACAGAGGAATGCTGAAATAAACTAAAGATAATATGGTTATAGGTAATAATGAGTGGTTAGTCATATATATGAGAAGTCATTAACATTGATTATTATGTGAATTGTTTCAAAAAAGCTCAGTTTAGAGTTTAGAAAAATATGAAAATAATTTGTGTGTCTGTAAGGACTATATGTTCTGGGAAATCTTGGTGAATATTAAGAAAAGCAGAAGAATATGTCAAGGATGGTATAATTTAATACTGAATATTTTACAAAATAATATAATTTAGCCTTTTCACATGAATCCAATGTTAAATTATTTTTATTATTATTTTCCCTGCAGTCATTACTAAGTGAAAAGACAACTATTATTGAAAAATCCCTGGAATTATCTCCAAGCCCAAAGAAAGGTAACAATGTTGTGTTTATTTTTGTTTCTTAAAATTTTTTACTCCTGATCTTGGAGACCATAACTTTGGAGTCCTTAGATTTGTAAGCAAGTGTTCTACCACTGAACTAAAGTCCCAACCCCTAATATTTATTTATTGACGGATAAGACTTAAAGCTATTTTTCTGTGATTTTTTTCATCCTTTTAAGATGTCACACAGTTGAATAGTTCGTATATTCAGGGTTAGAGATGTAAAGGTGTTTCTGAGAACTTGGCTTTCATCCCTGTTGTAATCGACTCTGTTTTTCCTGGTCCTGCTGGTGGCTGCTAACATTTTGGTGTTCTTACTAGGTTTACTGTAATCATAGAATCTAGTGCCTTTCATGGCACTAAGACCATTGAAAAACAGATATTTATATTATGATTCATAACTAGCAAAGTGAAATCCTTTTATGGTTGGGAGTCACCATGACATGAAGAGCTGTATTAAAGTGTCATAGCATTAGAATGGTTGGGAGCCATTGCGCTAATGGATAAGCTCAGGTTTAGAACTTCAGAGAAATAATGAATAAATGAATAACCAAATGGTCTGCTTTGAATTCTGGTACCATAAAAATATTCACATGGAAAATAAACATATGATTTACACTATAGGAACCACTATTACAAACTCGATTTTTGATTGGTGCATTAGTTATGGATGCTGTCTAACTTCAAATACAAGGAAACTGTTCACAAAAATTAGAGACTCATGTTATTTCCTGCAATAAGACATCCTCTTATTGCATAGAGTCCAGCTATTTTGAACTCTGTAATGTTAATGTGAAATTGATTCTCCTGGGTGAAAGTTTACGGTAGGTTGGTATTTTAGGCCAAATTTTTGAGGAGACTGTTGTTTTTTTATCCAGTGAACTTTGCTTTCTTTAGGAAAGCTAGATCTTTTTTAGCACTTTGTCTGAGAACCTGTCATACAGATTGCCAGTTATCTCCACTAAAGATGGTGTGATGCAGGTAGGATTTTTATGTGTGAATATTGCTGCTAGTAATGTTAGAGTTGGTCATCATGGAGAAGAGAGGACTTTGATGGTATCATCATCCCATCTCTGTAGATGGACTAGAAGAGTGAAGTCTTACGACTTCAGAGGTTTTCTGTCTTCATCTATCTTGGGAAAACAAGCTAAATGCTCAAATCTCAGATTCCGCATCTTGAAAACAGGCATAAGATTGTGAGTTTTCTTGGTTATTGTATTAGGTGAGCTAGGAAGATAGATAAAATTCCTAGTTCCTGAGTACCTTTGAAGATACTCAGTTGATGCCAACAGTTGCTGTTGTGTCTGCTGGCATAAAGAGCTGCCTGTGGACTTGCCCAAAATTCTGTATAGTGGAATAACTTTCTGTGATCTAGAGATAACCATTTTAAGCCATATTATCATTTCATTTTCCTTCATAGATTTCTTTTTTTCCCCAGTCTTTTGAGACAGGGTCTCTTGTAACTCAGACTGATTCTGAACTTGATTGTAGCTGAAGCTACAGTCCTCTTGCCTCTACCTCTTAAGTACTAGCAAAGCAGGCATGTACCACTGTACTCCATTAGAGAATGCTGAGGATTTGAACTCAGGGTTTCATGCACTCTAGGCAAACCTTCTAACAACTGGGCTACTTCTATAGCCTGTGTTCTTTTTCTATGCAAATGAAAATTAAAATATTTAAAAATGTTACTCTAAAATTTATAAAACACTGTCTTATACAATAAGCTGGCAGTTATCTTTTTGAAATATCTGGGGTACAGAATTATATATTTCTTTTAGTGCCTATGTTCTTATATTTGTATCCATTTATGTTTAATTTTTAAGATATAATATATGGAAAAGGGTATATTTCTTTAAATAAATATAGCTTATATATTTTTCTGGTGTTGTTCATTCAGTTTTGGGAGAAAACTAAGTATTAAATAAATTGCTACTTGTATTTAATTACAGAAGTTCTATTAAGATAATTTTCTCAGGCTAGAATATATTTGACTCACAATATTGTTTTTTATTATATTGATGATATGCAGTATATTCTGAAAGGCTCAAAGAGTTTGTACTGATGTACTCTATTTATAACATGGCTTTAGCTAAGCCAAGATAGAGATATAAAAGGCCTAGGAAGAGGTTGGGGTGGGGGGAAGGTATATAAAGCATTTCCTAGAACCAGTTCATTTTTAAAATAGCAGCTCCTAAAATTAGTTTAAAGTAGCCTATTAGTAAGAATCCTAAGATAATGTTTCAAATAAAAACAACAACCCTCCAAAATAAAAATCAAGCAAGCAAACAAGCAAACAAGCAAACAAGAAAACTAACCACATTTATTTAGTAGGTTGAGGAGCAAATATTTTTATGAGAGCTGGAAAATATAAGTAAGGAACATAATTTAAAAACAATGTCTAGGGTATGAGGCCTGTGTCCATGACTATTTCTTTATCTCATTCTTTTTTCATTTGTCTCTTATAATTTACTTGAACCCCAGCTTTTGTCCTTGGCTTTAATTTAGAGATGCCGTGCAGGACTACTCATAGAACACTGAAGAAGATGTAACACAACGTTGTTTTTGTTGTCTTTAGGGTTTTGTGCTTGTGCCTATATAATATGCATAAACTCTCATTCTGATGAATGACAATTGTCAGCTGCCATTTGTCTTCTCATCTTCTGTTGCAGAAACAGCAGGTGAGAGTCCTGGTGAGCTGGCAGATATAACATGGAGTTCGAGTGGAAGTGATTTCTCAGATGAAGATAAGGCACTCCCGCAACTGCAGAGAGATGGTGGACACGGCTGTGGAGCAGACAGGTTTTGTAGCAGGACAGATTCAGGTCCAGAAGATGGAGCCAATGAAGGTAAGTTCCTGGCTTCTGTTAAATGTTGGTGTCAGTAGGAGTAGAAACTTAAATTCGTATTATACATTTATTATGAATTATGACTACTGAGTTATATCAGTTATATCCTCTGTACATTTTCTTACATGTTTCTTATAACAACTGTAAGAAATAGATATTATAGTGGCTTCTTATTTTGTTTTTACCTTTTATATTTTGAGATAGAGTATGTGTAGCCTGGGCTTGCCTTGAACCTGAAATCCTCTGTGTTTGCCTCTTAAGTGCTGGGACTACAAACTTGTACCATTATGTGGCCTGTTCTTACTGTGTTTGCTGTTTTATTCTGTTTTATTGCAGTTGAAATGTTAGGTTTGATTTGCTCAGATTTAGTTGGAATTTTACTTTTACTCTGTAATGTCAAGCCAGTGTTCCTAATTTCTAAGCAGTGCTGCTCCCATGCTTCCTCCTGTCTTACTTGTTATTAATGAATAAGTATTGCAAGAATCAATGTGTAGTAGATAACACTTTGTAGTGTATTGTGTTTCTATTAAAATGGCTTCTCAAAATTAGCAGTATTGTTTTCAAAATAAGCTTGCTGCTTTTAACTCGGATAGTGCACTTTTGTTATTCCTCCAAAGTTAGGTTTGCTTAGACATCTTCTCTAGAAAGTGTTTACAACCTATTGACCTCTTTAAATGCTATTCTGGCAACTACCACTGACAGTTTAGTAGTTATCTGATAAGATGGCATTTTATATTATATATAAGCTGACAATTCTTATGTTAGTTATTCAGTTTTGTTGACTAAAACTCACTGTGAGATGACTCTTGCCTAATCTTTTACATGATTTAGAACAGGATTTCAATATTAAAAGCTGCTTTATATTAATTGTATCTTAATAAAGCTGCTATTGGAAGCATGGCTGCTGCCCTCTTCTGAATGTGGTATTTGGTAGGTTCTAACATTGTAACGTTTGTAAATGAAAGCCTGCTCTGATGAATTAACCTTTCTGCACTTACAGAAGTGAGAAGTAAGATAGCTGTGAGTTCAGAGCTAGCTTGGCTTAAGTCTGGAGCTCCAGCCCATGCTTGGTTCCTTACTGCCATTTTGTTCCAGAAAACAAAGAATTAGGGGTTGGGGAAATCACTGTGTCACTAAAATGTTGCTACACGGGTGTGAGAACCTGACCTCAAACCCTACCAGCCATGTAAAAAGAGAAAAGCTAGGTATAGTGTGCCCCAGCACTGGAACCAAAGACAGGGAAGATTCCTAGTGTGTACTAACAGCCAGGTAGTAAAATCATCCACGTAAGAGACCCCGTCTGAACATAGAAGGGTGACAATGATGTAGGAAGATCCCTGACACTGACTTCTGGCCTCTACACACACATGTACACAGTATATGTGCATCCTTACACACTAGCAAATAAATTAAAAGCTAGAATACTTAAGAAGTGAGATTATTGAACTTGCTGTTTGACTTTTCTTGTAAAGTTGGTCCTTAGGTGGTAAAGAGTAAATGACCTTTTGGAGTATTTGAAGCCATGCTCGTGGTTGCTGGTCTGTCTTCCTCTTTCAGTTTTCCCTTCTCCCTATTCTTTTAATAGTTTTCAGAGCTTTAATGGATGACAAATACTTTAGTTACCAAGATTTAAGTTGTTTAAGACATGAAGCTGGGTGTTAAGTATGTTATTTCCTTTTATACGTACTCTATTTTATGAGCTATGAAATATCTTCATTTTATTAGAAGAAGATTCGTAGTTATAAATGTGCCTCTGTAAAAGGTCATGTGAAGAGAGGCACATTTATAAGTGCTCCAATTGATAATTCAGACCCAGGATGCCTCTGTTTAATTGTATACTGGTTGCCAAGCCTTTTTTCATTTCCTTTACAAATAATATCCTAGACTCCAGGATGAGAGTATCTTGTTTACAGGGTCCAGAATTGGGTTTAAGAAGGAAGAACTCTAAGTTAAATTGGTCAAAATATTTTTTTCTTTCTTTAAAATTTCTCTTCTTGAACTTGAGGAGGTAGTTCAGTTGGTAAACAGAATTTGAGTTCAACACCCAGAACCTGTGGTTTTAAAGTCACAAGCCCTGCTATGGTAACACACTTTTAATCCCAGCACTTTTGAGGGTCTCTGAGTTCAAGGCCACCTAGTCTACACAGCTGGTTACAGGTCAGTCAGGGCTGTACTATGAAACCCTGTAAATAAAACAGAAACCAGGCATGGTGGTGCTTGAATCTCAACATTAGGGAGGCAGCCAGACAGGTTTCAGGGGCTCAGGGACTCAGTAGTGGGAGGGCCTTGCTTTCTTAGTAAATTACAGGTCACTGAGAGACCCGATTTCAAAGAACATATAGGGCAGTGACTGAGGAACCAGGCATGACTCTGGTCTGCACATACACATACACACATGTACACATGTGCGCCTCCCCCCCCCCCATGAATATATACCCAGATAACCCGGTCTTTTAGAACGTTTGCAAGGTTCCTTAGATCTTAGAGACCCAGACTTTATCTGTAAAGTACATGGCATTACTGTGCTCAGGCATAAAAATCCCCATTTTGTTTTTTGTTTATCACTTAATTTCACTCACCTCGTTACAATATGCTAATTTTCTGTGGCTTACTCAAAGTAGATATTGTTGTTTCTCTTCCATTTCTTTCTTTTGACTGTTGACATCTGGGTTGCTAGGACAGCCCCTTCAAAGACAGTCATTCTGTTGAGTGAAAGCGAGAGTTTGTAAAGGGTGCTCCCCAGGGGTGTGGTGCTGATGGCAGCTCTGTAAGTGTGTGTGTTGTGTGTTCCTTCTCTGGCTCGCCACGGCTTCCTGCTGTGATGACACAGCAGCCTAGAGAATTTGTTGTGCACTACCCTGCCTGGCTTCATGTCTAAATATGAGCTGAGACACGAGAAGTAAAGGTCTACTTTTTCAGAAGTGGTTTAACTTCTAGTTTTTTTGTAATTAGTGTAGTGGACTTTTACCTTATCTTCTCAAACCTTTCCAGACTCCTCCCCACCCCCCACCCCTGCTTTTTCCTGTGCAATATCTCTGGCTGTCCTGGCACTCACTATGTAGATCAGACGACAGGCCTTAAACTTAACAGAGACCTGATTGCTTCTGCCCCCCACCCCCAGTGCTGGGATTAAAGGTGTGTTCCACTATGTCTAGCTTTATAAAAGAGTTATTTTAATTTTTGTCCCATATTTTCTTTGTTATTTTATTTTGTGTCTATGAGTGCTTGCATGTATGTAAGTGCACCACATGAGTGCCTGGTGTATATGGAGGCCAGAAGACGGTGTCTGGAACTTGAGTTACAGAGTTGTCATAAGCTGCTGTATGGCTGCTGGGAACAACCTAATTTCTCTGTAAGGACAGCAAGGCTCTTAATTGCTGAGTTGTTTCTCCAGTCTCATCCCCTATATTTTAACTTTACTATTGTTATTTTTTCTTTAATATTTTAAGTTCCAGCAAGATACTAAATTTGACACATTTTTAATGAGCTATTCCTTCATTTCAGTGGAAGGAAGAGAGTCAGTGCCCTTCTATTAAGCGAGATGTAATGGACCCATTATCTTAGCTCCCTGTGTATTTGTACTTTGACCTGTAGGGAAGATTTATGTATTGTACCTCACAGTTTATCTGTGGTAACTACTTTTAGTTACTTAGGCATAGCAGATTAGATTTAGTTCATTTAGTCATGTAATATGTGTGCACAATTTAGCTGTTTATCTTAAAATTTAGCTAACGTTGTAATGAGGTTATGTTTAAGAGGTAAAATGAAACTTAGTTTGTTTCCATATTGATGAAAGATATTTCTGGAAAAAAATTCTCGGGTGGAGATACTTAAAGAAGTTATTTGTTTTAATTTAAATTTTTTTCAGATTTATTTTTATTTTATGTATATGAGTGTTTTGCTTTCATGCATGTTTATGTACCATGTGCATGCAGTACCCATGGAAGCCAGAAGAGAGCATTGGATCCTCTTGGAACAGGAATTATAGACTTTTTTTTTTTTTTAAAAAAAAAACAGGAATTGAACCTGGGCCCTCTGCAAGAGCAGTCAGTACTCCTAACTACTGAGCCACCTGTCTAGCCTTGAAAAAGTTATTTTTAACAATGAACTATATAAATAAATCATGCTTTGTTGCTACCTTAATTACTTGATGTGAGAACCCACAAAAATCTATTAACCAATTTATTAAGGAGTGCAATGAAAAGACAAACTCACAAATGCGAACAAAGCAGATGCTACTGCTGATCCAGTAGTTGTTCTACCCAGGAGTTAAGAGCACCAACTGCAAGCTGCCTCTCCACTGCATTCTCTGACTCCAACCACACCAAGAGAAAGAGCTCCTTCCCCAGTTTGTCAGGTCATGTACTCAGAGAAAACCATGCACATGGCTAGTCACTCCCAAATGTCATTGGCTAGATGGAGCGAGTTCCCACGTTTCCCCTCTTTTTCTAAATAAGAAGGTTCTAATTCTAACATAAAACTAGATACAATAAGAACTATCAAGTATTTCTAGAAGAAGGAAAAGGTCTTAGAACAAACAAAAAGGAAACTACAACCAACAAGAACAGCATCAAGCAAGAAACATATTCTAAATATCCAGACTGTAGGTAATACTCAATAGTTGTCCTATCCTGCAGAATTCAAGTCTTGTATGCCCTTAACTAAGATATGAGAGGATTGTTAACTATAGCTATCTAGTCTTCAACCCCATCAAAGACCTGAGAAGGAAAATAATATTGCCTGAGTAAGGAGGAAGTACAAGCAAACGACTTCCAAAAAATGCAAGAAATGATAGAAACAACCGACTGCCTGGACAGTCACCCAATTTTTTTTCTGTAATTTTTGGGACATCTAACTTTGTGTATAGGCTTAGAATATCTGACAGACTATTTTCAGAAGTAGGAAAATTTTGAAAGACTGACCTACCCTTACTTGGCAAGGTTTGGCAGTTGCTTTTTATTGTATCCTGCTTGTCCAGATTGGAGAGCATGCTTACTGTCAGCAGTCAAAGCAAGGGTAGTTCTTTGCCCAATAGGCCATTTTTGCCAGGAAGAAAACAGGCTCTAGCTGGGTGGTAGTGACACATGCCTTTAATCCCCCAGCACTTGGGAGGCAGAGGCAGGTGGATCTCTGTGAGTTCAAGGCTAGCCTTGTAGTTCTGGAACTACAAGAGCTAGTTCCAGAACAGGCTCACTACAGTGAAACCATGTCTCAAAAATTAAAAAAAAAAAGGCAAAAAGAAAACAAGCTCCATATGGAGTGTCTTTGGTGCTCATCCTTCTCTTGGGAGTAGATTGGTGCTGCCAGGAGCAGTCATGTCTCATGTCAACAGAATTCTAAGTTATTAAAATGTTTAAATGCCACATTCTGAAGGTCATTGAAGTGTTTGAAGATTATCTGTCTATATGGAATATATCTTTGTGCATCTAGAAAGTCTAACTAAAATAACTATAAGCACGACAGATATGGGTGACTATTAACCTATAATTCTTAATAACCTATTTAAAGACTTCACATTATAAAAATAAAAAAAATCTGTAAACACATGTACAGTATAAGGACAGGGACCTTGAAACTGTGGCAATATACAAAAATATCTTAATCAGAGGTAGAAATGTGTAGTGCAATATAACAAAAATATTCTTATTTGCATCAATATATAAAATACCCTAAACAGAAGAAGAAAAATATATACAATATGACAAAAATAATTTTGCAAAAATACTTTAAACAGAAGTAAAAACATATACAATATGACATATAATTTTGAATTTGTAACAATGTACAAGTTATCTTAAACAGGAATAGGAAAATAATTTTACATTTGTGTTGATATATAAGAATCCATACCATTGCAAATTATCTAAAACTGATAGTTGTTATTTTACTTTACATGTAGATACAAGTAATATACCTTATTGTCCTATCCTATCTCCCTTCTCTGTTCCAAACGTGATTACTGAATCTAATCCTTATTGTTCCACCCCCAACCCTATAACAACTTATATCCAACCCTTACAGATGACAATTATCCATACCCTCAGAAAAACTAAAAACCCATCCATCCCACCTATTGGGAGAGGGAGTGGCATGTTTGTAGAATTGCTTCTTGATGTCTGGGGGGTGATGGTATCTCTATGGGATCCTGTAAACAACTAAAGCAATGGTTAAGTCTCATGAGGACTAACTGTGACATTTGTAGTCAGTCTCCGAGTAATGGTTAAGGCTTATCTGAAGTTCTGGCTAGCGTGAGCTAAAAAGGTGGACCATCTCAGGTAGCCATTAGAATTGTCCTGGGCAGTTTGTAGTCCAAAGCCGATCTTTGAGTGGTGATATAAGGTCAATCACATCATAATTTACCAGGTAGAGTTGTAGCTGTGGGGCTCCACAGTCTTTTTTTGGAGACTTAAGAGATCACTGTTAGAAAAATTTATTGTTCACTGTGGAAAACTTAACATTATTAATATCAAAACAGAAAGTTTAAATTTTAAGATAGCTATATATCCAAGGAAAGGTTCTAAAGAGTTAAAAATAAGTATGACAGGAAAGATATTTGTGACAGTAGTCTCTAGATTTTGGTTTTCTTCTGTTCCACACTAGGTGGCTCTTCTGATATGAGACAAAGGTTCTGAATTTTTCTTTTAACAACATGCTTAGATTTAGAGACGGAGAAAGCCATGCTCCAACAGTAAAGCCATCTTTTTTTTAACTGAGTCAGGTCTTCATTCTTTTTGAAAAATAAAGAGATATTAATTTTTAGGTAGTGATATTTTTACCCTGTAGAGAATATTAGAACCACGGTCAGATTTATGTTTGCTTGGTAATTTTTTCCAGATAGCTCTTCTTTCTTCTTTAGATGCCTAGATGACCAAGGTCTTTTGACTTCTTGAAGGTAGGTATTTTTATTTTCCTGTAAAGATAAAACAAAACAAAACAGAAACAAACCAGAACCCTGTCCCTGATTCTTATAGGGTGAGTTTTCTTTTTGACATGTTAAATTGCCACATAATTCATTGATGAATTATCACTTCTTAATAAGAGGTCTCTCCTGTTTAAATCGAATCTTTGCTAATTTTGATCATATCCGTAGATTTTCTTCTCTTGTGGAAACAAAAAATTGAAACCTCTTCCCCAGTGTAACATATTTCCTGGTGTCTGTTCAGAGGTCAACACTGGCTGATTTAATTCAGTAGTCTTCTATTGTGCAGTGTCTCTCTGCACCTGTTGTTCCCTTTGAATAGCATTCAGGAAATTTAAGGTTAATAAGGCATTATGCAGTCTATCTCTGGGGGTCTTTATTACCTCTTTTATATATCAAGCATTTCTTTTAAAGCACGATTAGGTCTTTCTACAACCGCTTGTCCTATAGGATTGTGTGGTATACCTGTAACGTGCTTTATATTATAATATGCAAAAACTGTTTTGTTTTACTAGAGTCATATGCTGGGCTTTGTCAGTGTTAATATGTATAGGTATTCTCATGATGGCCATGACTTCTGATAGGTGTGTAATTACAGAATCAGCCTCTTCAGAATTCAAAGCAGTTGGCCATTGGAATCCTGAAGACATATCTATTTGTATGGTGTACATATTTTAATTTTTCAAATTCTGCAAAATGAAACACATCCATTTGCCAAATTTTATTTCTTTGCATATCTTTTGGATTACTTCTTGCAGGTTATGGAGTCTGATTAAACAAGGAAGAAGTAGGCCTTTATCTATCTATCTGTCTGTCTGTCTATCTAACAATTTCCTCGGCTTGTTGTCTAGTGATGGAAAAATCCT